TCGAGAAGCTGGATATTGTCACAGAATCAAGGAGTTAATTATCGCTCCCACTGCAAGGGTTCAGTATTGGAGGGCTAGGACCAATTATAAAGTTTGCAGATCGAGACCAATACAAATTGAGCCCTTTGAACACTGGCCGCTCTGTTACATATCCCAAAATATTGACAGATATGAAAGCTCATCAATATTTGGGTTTTTCGTTACCCTCTGTTTGAGTTCAACGACGTATGCCAAAGTTTGTGTAAAACTGTTGACTGTTTGCATTCCACGGGGTGTGAACGCGAGTTTTATAATTTTCCTAACTTCGTTACTGCTATTTTCACGATTTTCACAGATGACAAATTGTGTAATATTAATTCCGAAAATTGTATGTACATAATTTGCGAAGTTCAGCTTAAATTCTCATTTAAATAGGGTGAATATATAAATCGCTAGTGGCAAAGCTTTATATCAAATTAATTGCAAACTTGGATTTATATTTGAAAATAACGGAAAGACTCAGCACGTTTATTAGACTGGCTGCAATAGTCATTCTAAAGAGAAGATGTTATGATATTTTGCACCTCTGTGCACTATGGTGCACAAGTGTGTGCGCAGAGACATAAGTGCACTCACCTTACCATTTCTCTCACAGCCCGACGGAATGGATATTAAGAGAGCAGCGCAGAACTTACGTTCCGCACGCGGGGCATGGGGGACGAAAATTTTAATATATCTATACATTATATATACAAAGACAATATTCTAATTTCTCTATGCTCTACTGAGTTGATTTATTATCTTCTCTTTAGGATAAACTTCATTCAATTATTTTATTAAACTTTAATTTGACTCGTAAAGTGCTGCATTTAGCAAGATTAATTTTGTCGCAAAGCAATCCGGCAAAAGCTTGTACCGCCGTTCCAATTTTCCAAGAATAGAAAGCATTTTGTATCGTAAATTAACCCTTTAATTACGCAAACTAAATTAAACACGCCCTCTGTTCAAGACTTATTTGGCTTCAATTATTTAAGATCAAAACTAGTGTTGTTGACAAACCTGCATTCATATTATATATCTCACATTTATGAATCTGCATTAGTCCTAGATCAGTCTTGTATTCGTTTATCGTGAGAATTATTGCAAACGTTATAATTGTGAACCACAAGGTTTACTTAGTATATACTGCCCAAATATATCGTATATTTGTTAAATGTTCATAAATTGAATCCACTTTGTATGAACACAATTTTATCAAATTAGTCATGTACATAGCTATTGTGAATAAGCAGGGAGTAAGTACAGGACTTGCCACTTCAGCCAAGACAAAACTTTATTAATATTCCCATTACTCGACTTGAAATATTACTTTGTTATGAACAATGTGAACCTTCTCTGTCTGGATGCCTTCCTGTTTGTTCTATTTATGATAACTCTTTTTGTATAGTAAATATATTAATATAATAAATCGTTTATATTTTTAACAAAGGAAAAGATATGACTAACTAATGTTATCCTAAAAAAACTGATATTTTAACGAGGAAATGCACTTCGATTTTCCGTATTGCAACTCAAAGGTTCTCAATTCACAGCATCGGTCCTACCATGTACCACCACCTTTAAACGGTTAAGGACGTAATACTTAAGCCTGAGGTGTCGAAAAATATCGTAAGAAAAACGAAACCAAGTTCAAAAAATAGACAAAGTTTGTCCAGCAATGTGTTTAGTCCATGTCTAAATGGGACGGGTGAGGTATACTTCATACAATACATACAGCACCCTCCTCCACCTCCAGTCCTCGTTATCCACACCCATACAGGTTCTGCGGATTAATAAGATTTTTTATATAAATTTGTTTTGTTAACAGATGTTACTGTTTAGTACTCGTCCAGTTCAGATACAGTTACATACGGATAACACTAATCTTATAGATCTACCTAAAATCAGAACCGAATACGGAGGGAAGAATATAACTCTTTTTAAGGCAGTTTTTGCCGCGCATCACCACTATGTAGAACCAACTAACTGCCAACCGAAGTATTTCCGAACTAATTCCACTTGGGGTCCTTCAAGAAAACAACGTACCAATTCATAAATTTCGGAGTGAGTCCTTACAACAGCTTACTTTCTGAAATACGAGAATAGTAGCAGTGGCATTTTAAGTTTTTAATATTATTTTTTTCTCATGTAAGTGTCATGTCTGTTTTTAATAAAAAAAAACTTGCTAAATATTCCGTATCGCGGCACCAGCGATTTTGAGGCTGATTTTTTTTACAGTCGCGTAATGATCTGTAAACATCATAACTAGTTTTGTTATGATGGCGCATGAAAAATTTCAATTTAATTTAAAAAAATATTAATATACTAACCTAACCTAACCGAACAATATTAATAATAGGTTTTTTGGAAAGCTCCGGCGCTACGGGAATTGCAGCCCCTCCGCCCTTGCGTACCAAAGCACAGGCATTATGCAAGCCGAAAGCTGCGGAGGCTTGAATAAAATGTGGGGGCTGCTCTTCCCCCGCGGCTCCGATTTTTTATATACACTCTAGGGGTAAGGCAGACAAGACCACGTGGATAGTGATTCGGTTTTGGGTACTTTTTGATTTTTTTTTTGCAAAAAAGGTCATGCGCCATCATAACAACACTAGTTATGGTGCTGAGAACTCATGACGAAGTCATAAAAAAAATCAGCCTCAAAATGGCTGGTGCCGCGATACGGAATATTAACCAAAAACTTAAATAGTTTAACGTTTAATGGATGCTTATAAAGTACTAACTTTACCACTACATAATATATAGTATAAGCTGTTTTCATGTTATTCAAAACACTTTCAATTTGTCTCTTCTACTTTGAATCCTAAATAATATGCATAAAACAATTGACGAATACAGTCAATTATTTTACAGACACTATGCGACAGTCGTTTATTGTATATAGATAAAATTATACATTCGGAAACAACAGAAACTCTAAAGAGTTAAAGTAATTACTATGATTTCCATCGAAGTAGCGTTAAAACTTCAAACAAATGAACATGAAAGTTTGTAAACCCACTAATTAAAACCACATAAGCCCCAATACAATTAAAACTGGTGTTAATATTGATCGACTTTGTATCTAGGTCAAAGTGATAGGAAAGAAAGTTTGTTTGAAATTTTCCATCAATGAAAAGTTTTACTTCCGAAAGAAGATCATTCATACCACATTACAATGCAATAGTCAATAAAGCTTCTAGAATGTTAGGTTTCATAAGGCGGTCGACTAAGTGTTTTATGAATGTGAAGCCTAAAATCATACTTTACAATTCTCTGGTCCGTAGCATTTTGGAATATGGTAGTGTTGTTTGGAACCCTCGATATTCTGTCCATGTTGACAGAATCGAACGAATTAACCGCCATTTCTCCAAACATCTATTCCGATTAAATAATAACATTAGCTATAAATGCGAGTATGAAAAAAAAGACTAGCTTTCTTTCACTTGCAATCACTCCGCGATAGTCGCCGCCTTATCGACATTATATTTGTTTACAAAATTTTAAATAACTTGGTAGATTTACCTAATGTTTTAAGTCAAGTTAACTTCCTCTTAAAGAGGAACACAAGAAAAACTTCAATCCTTTTTTACGTTCGGGCAGTGAGGACCAACGTCGGTTGTAATGCTCCTCTACACAGATCTCTATCGACATTAAACGACGCTCTGAGTACATGCCAAGCAGATCCATTTAGTGACTTCCATGTCTTCAGGCGTAAGATGCTGCAGCCAATGTTGATCCGTGACCAATAGTGATAATTGCAAAGTTGAAAATTATTGTTTTTTTTATATGTATTTGTAAATTGCATGTTTGTATTTTTTTATTTAATCTAGTTTGTTTTTTACTTTTAATGTTGAAGTTATTTTCTCTTCATCATTGTAATGTTTCCCTATAAATGTTGTGCACACTTGTTATTGATGCACATGTATGTATCTTGTTTTCTATATTATGTGTTCTCTGTAAGTGTTTGTATGTGTTTCGTTAGTGTGCCTTTTGAAATAAAATAAAATAAAATAAAGAATTAGAACACAATATGGTAACAATGATAAAAGCGACTGCGTAGACCGGGCGTAGCCATTTTCCGCGATACAGCGTAGACCTGCGTAGCACCGTAGCAGATGGTATTTTTAAATAAAATGTTTATCCGTAGATTAATAGTTTTAGCCGTAGATACGTATTATAGTTTCAATTAAGTGTAATACAAATGCTATTAGTGGTGTCCTGCAAGTGCAACGTGACACATTAGTTAGGAATTGAGTTAGACACGCGCCGTCGGAGATAACCGCAACGTTATGTTATGAAAGCCTCAAGCCCCAGCGAGCTACGAACATTTTATAATAACATTCTAGTGATTTCTTGGAAAAGCTTTTAATAAAAGTTTAAGCCATAAAATATTAAATTCTTGAAATGTATTTATAATATTGCTAATTTATCCTATTTTAGCTGGTAATATTTTCATTGTAAGCGGTTTTGTAACGGCGGTGTCTTCATTTACTTTGACATACATCATTTAGATTGGGACACAGGATTCATATCCTTCTGATTGCTCCTTTATGCATTTTCAACCTACTTAACATGTCAACATACACACACAGTCCCAATATAACAAAATACAATATATATTATAGTAATTAGACATAAATGGCGCTTTTGTGTTTAATAACCAATAGTAATGGAGCGCACTTTTGTACTTGGCACATTTTTCATATGAAAACATAATTATTTCCAAGTGTTCCAGTTTCGTAGCTCGTTGACACCGTGACGTGGTTAGAGATAGCCTTAAGGCATCGTTACGGCGCCACGTCTTGACCCACTTAACGGCCGCTCTACGTCGTTAAAGTTTTTACTAAAACGACCACTTTGTACTGCTTGAGAGGGTTATCAAAGTTGATATTACGTTAGTACAATAAACAATTATGGGACAAGTATTTTCTAACAAAATCAAGTATGGCTTGAGATGTCTATTACTTTGTTTGGTCTGTAGCTTACCCTAGCGCAGCTGTTATAGGGAGACTTTTGCCTTCCACCTTGCCGACGATAAACAGCTTGTCTAGGTTATCTGGTTTGCGACGGGCAATAAGACCAAAGTAAGTTAGAACTCTTTTATAGCATGTAGTTGTGAGTCTCGTACGAATTTTGAGTTGATCTAAGATAGATTGGTTTGTTATTTTAGCGGTCCACGGTCCAGTCTTAGCTAATTTACCAGTTCTGTCGATAAGCATCACGTTCGTTTTGGACTTATTGATGGCGAGTCCAACCCGTCTGCTTTCAAATTCAACTCTTTGGAATAATTCTGAAAATTCGGATTCTGATATCACAAAAAGCTTGGTGTCGCCCCATATCTTAAGTTAGAAATCTTTACGCCGCCGACAATGATGCCGCCTTTCCATTTTTCTAAGGCTATTGTCATAGAATGCATCCCTCTCTTACTCCCTTGTTTGGCTTGCAACACCACGTCGACCACAACAACCACGTCATTAACTCTCACCTTAGACTTACCATCTTGGTATAAGTTTGCGATGAATAGGACAAGATGTAGCGGTACTCTTATTTCCCGTAGAATGCTCCACAAGTATCCCTACTTTACACAATATAGTTTCCATAAAGCACATTAACGCTGTTACATTAAATTCACGGTGATTCTCGATGATTTCCTTGACATTAACAAATTGTTCTCTGTCAGTACATTTTAAAACACAGAATCTGTTTTTGGAGTTTTGTTTTAAATGTAAAACGCAACTAATTGCAAAATTTTGGAAAAGATACTCTATAAACTGTAATTCAGAGACAGAGAAATCTTTTAAAACACGTTTCTTAAAAACATTTGATTACAACGCTTTTAATGTCATTTTAACAACTGTCCAGTGTCCACCGTGGCCATTGTTACTATAATCACTCTACCGTCACAGTTTTATAACTTTAAATACAAACTAAATAACTGTAAAAAGATTTATTAATACAATAAAATCAGTGAGCCTATTGTGTGATATAAATATCATTCAAGGTATGGAAATACTACTTGTTAGTTAGTTAAGTAAACATATATTTAATTTATACATTATCCCATACATTTGGATTCTTATAAAACTAAAATTTGCTAGGATAAGAAAACTGTGTTATGATGAAAACTGTGTTATATGTGTAAAAATAAAAATATTTTAACCCTGTTTAGTATACCTTGTTTATTATCAGGATGAAAATATGACGCCAGCACTTAATTCATAAGCAATATGTTTTATAAAATATTTTATTTTATTTACGTTCCTTTTCTCCCCAAAACACATGTATTGGTATTTGTGTGTACGTGAAGTTATTACTTTTGATAGTAAATAGCTACTTTAATTGCTTCTATCTTATATCAACAAAATGCAAAGCATTATTTCTTAGAATCCCTTGAAACAGATGAACACCATAAAGTGATCTCTCGAATTCTATTAAAATGAATATATAATATATATCCTTTGTAGTACTACTTTAGATTTTGTTCCGTTAGGACTACTGTATAAAGTTATATTTAAGTCGATATCATCAGACACAAATAAATAAAATAAAATCCTACTAGTCCAAATCAATGTCCCAGTTTTTATCCCGATTTTAGTGAAACTTCATTCAAAAAATGAACAAAGCGGAGCCAGCGAATTCAATTTCATCAACTCTCAAAAAACTTTTATTTTTATATAGTAATTACGGATACAGAGAAAATTTTTAATTTTCGTTTCGTTACCGCGATGACTATTCATACATTCAGATTTCAATGCATATAAAAAATCATACTATAATTACCTTTTTAATATTTATGGCGTATATTTTAATACAATGTTTTAAGAACGTGTCAATTATTTTTTTTTTTTGGAAAATTTTTTTAATAGGGTTTTTGTATGAAAGTTTAACTTTAGAAAATAAAACAGTCAAATATATCTAAAATGTTTATATTATGCATTTAATATTTACTTGAATGAAAATTTATTAAAATCGATTTAGTATGTACAATGGACATAATTTAAAAACCATTGAATAATAAATAATGTTACACTAAATGTAAAAACATAAAATAAAAAGTAATTTTCAAATGTAAACTGAACTTTATTGACTTAAATGACACCTTTTCAGCTTTGATTATTTAATTGTAATTAATTTTTTGATAAAAAAAAAAAAAATTTTAAAAAAAAAAAAAAAAATATTTTTTTTGCGCCGGAAAAAAAAAAAACACGCCCCTTTATATTTTTTTGATTTAGCTATCTTTATCTATATATTCATTTTAAATCGAAAACATTTCAACAATATAGTCGATGTTACCTTCCATATATAAAGATGCTCTTTTGTTTTATTGAATGTGCAAGATAAACGCTTTAAGTTTATTCTAGAATTTTCCCAAATAATTTTTAATTAATTTTAATTGCGTTTGAATCTCTGGATGTAAAGGGTCTCACATTCACGCAAGGCTTAGCAGGATTCAAAGCGTAAACACCGGCTGCACTTGAACTTTTTACCATTCTCAGTTTCAGAATTCATGTTACGCTATTGTTCTTCACTCATTATATTTTTTTGCGCAATTTAAACATGAGTTTACACTGATACAAGTTACCCAGAATGCTAGAGTGTAAGTAAGTACATATGGTAGTGTACTATGTTCCAGTCAGAGGTCATCCCCAGGGTCTCTCTTTATCTATATTTTAAGATTTATCTAAATCTAAAAAAACCGTCCCTGTTTCCTTAGTTTTTTTTATTATATTTGATGAATTAAATCATGGAGAAACATATTTGGTAGATCTGCTTATGGTTTCAGCAGTAGTATTGAACTTAGAAACTTTAGCCCTAACTTGTTTATCTATGTTGTGTATCTTTTGTTGATAACAATGTCCAAGTACGCCTACTTAAAAATCGATTTGATCTGAGATTATTGTTAGTCAATAACTGGGGCTAAAATAATCCGAAGCAAAACTGTGCATACTGTTATTTTTACGTAAGCTTCGTTATTGCTATATGAAAAATTCATGTAATATTATAAAAGGAGGTCATAATTTTCATCCAACACTTGAATTTTAATTTTACCGTATCGTAGCCTGAATAAAAAACGCGTAAATTTTAAAACAAATTTTTCGTAACAAAAGTGGAAAATTAAAAAACGTAATTTTGTACCGAATTTCTGTATGGCGTGTAACTGTATTAATTTTTAAAAATGGCCACGATAAAATTGTAAACTGAATTTTAATTTTGACTAACTTAGATATCTTCTATTACAAATGGTATATGGTATTGTCTTTTATTAACATAACTTTTCCACGTTTAAAGAAAACACTTTTTTACGGGATTGAAGTTATGTATTATTATAAACTTATAATTATTTTACATAATTAAAATAATACATAACTTCAATCCGGTAAAAAAGTGTTTTCTTTAAATGGTATCTGTTCAGTATGGTGGAAGTTACCAATATTTTGTTTTTCTTGATTTCAAACCCGGACTCTCTCGTCTGCCAATGAATTTTTCAATTTCATCAACGTGCAATTCAATAGTTACTATAGGCACTGAAGGAAACAGCGTCAGGAAACCAATAGGTCTAAAACCAAAAGATGAATAAATAAATTGTAATAAATGCATGTAATACACATATGTACAATATGTACTTCTAATATGTATTCTATGTCGTTGAGAACCCTTTTACATTTTATCTATGCAATCAATTTGCATATATTATAACGGTTCGAAGTGTAAATGCATTTGCGCTCAAGGCAACAGGGGCTCAATACACTTCGGACACTGTTCTATTCAGAGAACTTGTTATTAGTGTATAACTATGTCCTATACGTTAAATAAGGGCTCTTGGGGGCGCTCTCCACAGGGCTCTATTTAATTTAGTCTAGTAAATTGCGTTCCAGATAAAAGTTTATAATAAACGCCCGAGTAATATCCCTCATGATATCATAAAACATCCTAGAAACTTTCGTCTTATCTCGAACAATGAAACTACATGTATACAAGTTTAAACTTTGAAATATTACCACTAATTATACGCCAAGCCAAAGTTATACAATTTGAGATAAAGCCGTGTACTTCATTTTGCTTTCAACAATGAAAATACCTCTTAAAGCATATTAATATCAAATATGTCGGTAACTGATACTGCTTGTAAAATAATTAGGAATCCCCAAATGATCCTGCCTTTTACTTCTAATAATGTACTATAAGGAGCTTAGATTAAATTAACTCATCATATTAATTATATATTTCTCTGAGTTTAATGACCGTTATACACTCGGCGTCAAAAAAATCGCACCTTTCTTAAAATTCGTGTCAAGCGATTATAACTTCTAAGATCCTTCTTGTACCCTATCATTATTAGTATCATTTAAAAGCTCAATTAATAAGCTTTCAAAAAAATAATCATTTGTTTACGGAAAATCAAAAACCACAAATCGCCAGCACTTTGATTAAAAAGTGGCGATGTACGCATTTGAGGCTCACTAATTGTACCACCCTGGACGCGTATAAAACGAGGGGGGGTAAAAGTCAATTATGGGTTATTCGCTATCCAGACGTCACAGAGGTCACACCTGAAGAGCTTCGACAGTAAAAAAACCCAGTGAAAATGGATACCATGGCAGAAGAAGCAGCTCAAGTGGTGGCCCTACCTCAAACCGGACTACGGCAGGTTGAAGTTGCTCGGCAACTGAAAATCAGCCGATTTCGAGTGCAACGGGTATACCAACGGTTTCAAGATACTGGAGGTTACATCTGGAGGACTGGAGAAGACATGGATCCGGGAGACGTCGCTGCACTACCGTCAGAGATGTTCGCTACATTGTGTCGACGTCTTTGCGGAACCGCTTCTCCAAGGCTGTGGAGCTGCAGCAGTGGCTTCGAGCTACTCGAAGGACAGCAGACAGCGTCTCCACTATCAGAAGAAGGCTGTGAGAAAAGCATTTGATGCCCCGGAGAGCTGCTACAGGCCCCCAATTGACTGCCATCCACCGGACGAACAGGAAGCGATTTTACGAAACGTACGTGCCGTGGACATTCGACCAGTGGAGGAATGTCCTGTTCTCCGACGAAACCCGAGTGTGCCTGTACACCATAGACATGGGTAAGAGAGTCTACAGGCGACCAGGGGAGCGTTTCACACCAGCCTGCACCGTGGAAACCGTCGGGTATGGAGGAGGATCCTGTATGTTCTAGGGCGGCATTTCTATCGACGGCAAAACAGACCTCGTGTGCGACTCCAGAGCTGGAGATGGTCGCGGCCAGGGGTCCCTGACTGCCCACCGGTATATCACCGAGATTTTGGAGGAGCATGTGGTCCCATGTGCAGGTTTTGTCGGCGCCAACTTCGAGTTCATGCACGACTACGCCCGGTGCCATACAGCCTTGATTGTCAAGGACTACCTACGTCGAGTTGGCATCAAGGTTATGGACTGGCCAGCAAGAAGCCCAGACCTCAATCCTATCTAGCACCTCTGGGACGAGCTGAAACGGCGAGTTTGGGCCCGTAATCCAGCTCCTGCCACTCTCGATGAGTTTCGAGATGCCGTCATCGAGGGGTGGGACAATATTCTCCAGGAACACGTCGTAATTCACGCAACATGTCTATGACTGACCGCTTGGAAGCTGGTCGGAGGGCTAGAGGAGGCAACACTAGGTTTTAAGACTAATTTTTAATTATTGTTATTGTTTATTTTTAATTTTTGTATTGTTCATTTTCTTTGTAATTTTGATCAGAATACACATTGTTTCACATTTTCCCAGAATTTTCTTTTTTTATGGGGGTGGTTACCAATTTCCTACCGTTTTCAAATAAGGGATTTCATTAGCTTTCAAATGATACTAATAATGATAGGATACAGGAAGGATCTTTGGAGTTATAATCGCTTGACACGAATTTTAGAAAAGGTGCGATTTTTTTGACGCCGAGTGTAGATTAATTTAAAATAAATGTAGTCTAAGTTTAGATAAAACTATAAATTAAGTAAGGACATACGCACAACGGACCCTAGTTAGAGTCTAAGTGCGAAAACTGAGTCCACCAAGGCCAGCAACGCACTCGCGAGCCCTCTGGCATTGAGAGTGTCCATGGGCGGCGGTATCACTTAACATCAGGTGAGCCTCCTGCCCGGTTGCCCCCTGTTCTATAAAAAAAAAACAACCTTAAACCGTTAAAGGTTGGTTTGGTTGGTTGGTAAGAACTTGAGTTAAATTACCAGGAAAATATGTATCAATATTGAAAAAGCTATAATTATCCATTACGAGCTACGAGAATTGTGATAAAAATTCAGAAATATATGTCAGAATAATCATCGTATTGTTGAAACCCCAGATTTAATATCCTATTTTTACGAGTTGAGGGTGAGATTATATTTTCATCTAAATAAAATTATAAAAAATGTGTCCATTTAATATAAAACCAATGTAGTTAATGTGTTGGGAACTCTTTTAAGTATAAAATACCTTTTTTTTTTTTTTTTTTTTTTTTTTACGTCAGGAAATGCTTTTACGCATATCCCTGCTGGAGTAAAATTCAGCAGGGATTATGTGGGACTCAGACATAATATCTTCACACCTACCCACTAAAACCTGACGGATGCCTTCGGCTCGCCAAAGGGCGGAGGCAGGTAACAGCTGAGCCCTATCCTTACCCCCGCCAAACGCGAATGCCACAATATCAACGTGACTCCTCCCACGAACAAATCATCAGCATCTTAACTTAGGGCAGACGTGCGAAAGCACGGCGTCGCTGCCCCGGTCGTCGTTTTCTTACCGGCGGAGCATCAGAATTATTTTCACGCTGACGCTCCGCATTCTCTTTCTCAGTCATGACGGCCTCACAAAAAGCCTTGAAGGCATTCCAAGGGCCGTCATTGTCAGCTTCCACCATTCTTTGGATAATTAGTGGAAGCGACAGATTGCCAACAATGCTATCAGCAAGGACCGAGCGAAAGCCGTCCCAAGCCGGACACTCCTCAACAGTGTGCCTCACCGTATCCTCTCTACAGTCAAAATGATGACAAGCAGGTGTCGCCTCTCTTCCAACGATTCGATGCAGGTAACTCCCAAAGCATCCATGCCCAGAGAGAACCTGAACGAGCCGATAGGAAAGCGATCCCCACCGTCGGTCCACCCAGTGTTTCAAGAAGGGACGAATAAGATCAACAGTTTGTAAACCAAACCGACATTCACTTAACTCATCCCTCCATTCTAGCAAAATTAGGCGGCGATACTCCTCCTTCCAGACCTTGACTACCTCCAGAGGTGGGTCAAAACCACCACTCCTGGCTTCAGCTCTTCTCCAAAAATTTTACCCAAAGCCAAAGCTTCCAAATGCCAAGGCGGAGTGGCGGCTATGACACATGCCGCGTCACAGGATACGGTACGGTATGCCCTAGCAATTCTTATGGCAACTTTACGCTGTGACCGTCTCAGTAAAGCCTTGTTGTAAAAAGACAACTTATCCGCCCATATCGGACAACCATAAAGCGCCTTTGCACGCACCACACCAGCA